AACGTAAAGAAATTAAACAAAGCTCAGTTTTTATTTTGAGCAGAGCAATTGTCAAGCCACATTATAACATTTTTAGAGTCTCGGTGAGACAAAAACAATTTATAGAATATGCTGGCAATATCCGACTTACTTTGTCCGGCTATTCCTTCGTGCCATAAAATTGCAGTTGGTACTGTTGGCTTTCTAGCAGTAACGAAAAAAATTTCATTAAAAGCAATTATTCTAGGTGTAAAAATAATCTCCTTAAACCTATCCATTCTCGGAAGCATTATGACCTAGAATATCACAACAAAATAAAACATTTATAATTAATATAATATTTTTGATGTATTTATTTTGATGTATAATACACCAAACTTGGTGCATTCCTCACAATTATTCACCAATGCATCCTTTTTGTGAGACGTGGATTTTAAATGCAAGTTAAATGATTGTTACAACCAGCACTATTCGTGTACTAATTTTACAAATGCAATATTTAAAGTTGCGACAACTTCTTGATCTAAATAATACGAAAACTTGATATTTTAACATTTTTAAAATAACCATGTAAATAATTACGCATTAGTTAATAAAGTAACCTTTGTTTCTTACCCAATTGTCAAATTCCCCTCTTACCGTGGCCTAGTGTTGTATGTCTTAAAAAAAAAATGCCTTGATGGGCCCCTAGGCGAGAAGAGAGTGACCCTGTTTACCTGTTCTTTGTTTTGTATATTTAGTAATATAAACTCAGACAACTATTTTTTTTACCATGTTGAGTCTGGCTGAATGACTAACAGTCTATGCCATTAAAAAAAAAAAAAAAAAAAAAAAAAAAAAAAAAACATTTTTCAATAAAATTCTGGTCCATCATTTTTATTGTGATGTCACTGGAAAGATAACGTCGTTCTGGTGCATGTTCCGATCGTAGTGTGGTTCTGTGGGTTTGAAAGATTCTATATATTCTTTAATAATTGCGACATTCTTTATAAATGCGACAGGATGTGCATTCTTACTACTAATATTTAATGCATACTGTAAAGAAATTATGAAAAAAGCTCTTGATGGAGAAACAGTAGGAATAAAGGTCATTGGAACACCAATTAACAACGTTAGATATGTGGACGATACTTTCATAATAGCAGACAACCTCCAAGACCTACAAAAGTTTATGAACAATATAGTTTAGTATGGAAAACAATATGGATTATCAATAAACTTGCTTTGTCAATAATTTTTTATCCACTCCTGAATGTAGGTCTTTCCCAATTGCTTCCATCTTTCCTTATCTTGCTCCAATATAATCCACTTTTGCCTGCTAGTACTCTTATGTCATCTACCCATCATTTTTGAGATCTTTCCGTACTTTTTGTTATCGTCCTTGGTCTCCATTCTAGAATCCTCCGTGTTCACATGTTGTTATTATATCGGGCTACGTGACCTGCCCAGCGCTATTTCATGTTTGTAATTTCTTCCACATAATCCCTAATCTTCGTTCTACGTCATATCTTGTTGTTTATAATCTTGTCTCTCAATCTCAGTGATATTTTAAGCATGATTCGTTCGGATTTTTTGGTAAGGGCTACTGTCTCCAAGCCGTAGGTACAAACTGGTAGTATCCATGTGAAATACACCTTTTTCTTTAAGTTTACAGGAATGGAGGTGTTTTTCAAAATATATGCTAGTTTGCCGAAAGCGCCCCATGCTAGTTGTGTTCTTTTAATTTCAGCATATTGATTTGGTTTTCCTAGTTTAATGATATGAACTGAGGATATCAAAAACCGAAAATAATGATAAAAGCCTGACAATTAAAGCTAAAACTTTAGAACAGCTTAAAAACTACAAGTATCTTTGCACAATAACTAATCACACAAACGATTAGTCTAACTAAATCAAAGTTCGAACAGAGAAAGCACAAACTTCAATAAAATAAGAAAGGTACTTTGTTCAAGGAACTGAAATTAGACTTGCTAGTTAGCTGTTAGTTTACGGGATAGAAGAATGGACAAAAAATGCGTCGACTACTAAAAAGTTAGAAGCATTCGAACTGTGGGTTTATAGAAGGATCCTGAAGATATCTTGGACCAAGCATGTAACAAACAACGGAGTTATGAAAAGAGTCAACAAAAGAATGAAAATATTGGAAACCATAAAGACACGAAAGCTGCAATACCTGGGGCATTTTATGTGTAATGAAAGATACAACATACTTTAATTAATTATACAAGGGAAAATTCGAGGCAAAAGAAGTGTAAGAAGGAGAAGAATCTCATGGTTGCGTAACTTCAAATCGATCGAACTATTGAGAGCGGCAGAATTTAAGGTTAGGTTAGCTATGATGATTGCCAACCTCCGTCGCTGAGATAATACGTAAAGAAGAAGAACTTTAGTTGTAGTAGTAGTAGTCAGTCATTTCAACATGATAGTCGTTAGAATTTCAATAACTTTATATCAAAACGTTTATGGAAACAACACTCGAACACAAATGGATCATCATCATCATCCAGCCGAATTTTTACATCCATTGTTGGATATAGGCCTCCTCCAAACGTCTCCAGTTCTCTCTATCTCTAGCTGCTGCAATCCAGTTTGTTTCTATTCTCCTTAGGTCGTCGGTCCATCGGGTGGGTGGTCTGCCTCAACTTCGCTTGTCGGCTCTTGGTCTCCACTCCAATAATCTCTTCGTCCATCTTCCGTCTTCAATTCTAGCAACATGTCCAGCCCACCTCCACTTTTGTTTATTGATTCGCAGTATAATATCGTCTACGCCAGTTCGTCGGCGTATCTCCTCATTTCTCACGCGATCTTTCAAGGTCAGGCCCAGCATTGATCTCTCCATTCGCCTTTGTGTTACCCTCAGTTTTTCGGCAGTAGCTTTCGTTAAAGTTAAGGTCTCTGCTCCGTAGGTCAAGACTGGTAAGATGCATTGGTTTAAATGCCTTCCTTTTCAGGTGAATTGGGATATTTGTTTTAAAAATGTCTCTCATCCGTCCATATGCCGCCCATCCCAACATGATTCGTCTATTTAGCTCGCAGGTTTGGTTGTCTCTGGTTATTCTAATTTCATGACCCAAGTATGTGTATTTATCGATTAATTCTACCTTGTTGTTGTATTGATCTGTATCTCTTCGCTGGGAACCATATTGGTCATCATTTTGGTTTTCTCGAAATTTATCTCCAGCCCAGTTTCTTGTAGTATGTCATTCAGTTCTTGGAGCATGTCTTTGATTTCTCCCAGATTATCTGACAGAAGCACGATATCGTCCGCAAAACGTAGATGGTTTAATCTTTCTCCATCGATGGATATTCCTTTCTGTTGCCATGTTAGTTTTTTAAATGCATGGATAAACACAAATGGATACTGCTCGTATATTTCATAAAACATTTACAAGTTTACTGCCTGTATCTCAAAGAACTGTGTACTTTCTTAGTTTATAGGAATATCAGATAGAGTTGTAGTACTCAAAATTAATGCTAAACCAGTTAACGTGAACAATATTCAAGCATATGCTCCAAACTTCAAAAAGCTCAGAACAAGAAATAAAAATAAGAAGTGACTAACCTGCTATAGATACTTTGGACTAGAAACGCGAAATAATAGAGGAGACCGCCTTGTTCAGTTTTGACAAGAAACTTTTTTTTAATTACCACCTCGAAGACTGTATACCTAGAAATCTCCAGCTGACTATCAAAAAAAAAAATGATTAGAAACCAGATTGACTACATCATCAACAACAAACGATTTCAGAATTTCGTAAAAGCCGCAAAAACATATCCGGGAGCAGATGTTTCATCAGACTCTAATCTTTTACTAGGACGTTTCAAACTGCACATGAAAAAAGTCTATACAAGAAAAGCATAAAAACATCCAGACATCCAGAAGTTGAAAGAGAAAACCACAAGAGACGAAGTCAAAGAGAAGATCAACAACAAAATAAACAGCATGGTAATCGCAGATATTAATCAAGAAAATATAAGTGTGGATGATATGTGGAATACAATAAAGGCGATTATTGTTAAATAGAAAATCAGTTTCGCGAAATTGAACATATAAGGCAGAAAATAAAAATGAAAAAAGGGTGGTTCCTCCAAACAATTTTTGTTATTTTTTAAACAAAAAATACTTACAGCTCTTACTTTTCATCCCTCTATTTCTAACCACTAGTCTTTAATAGATAGATAAGTATCACAAAGATAGTTCCCATATTGTGTATTTTGTAGGTCTGGTAATATAATAGGTCATTTATTTTTCATACCCCCAAGTTAGGGTGGTCCACACCAAACATTCTTTTATTTTGTAAATAAAATTGTGTACTAAAGATTAACCCTTATGTAGGTCTTTTAACCTAAAATTAAATTTACCTTTTGCTGCCCAGGGAAATCAAAAGTTTAAGTAATTTTTGGAATATATTTCGCAAAACAGTTCACTTTAAGTTTTCCATGAATACTAAATGAAATACTACAATAATCTCTGTTACTAAACACGACTAAAAATTTAAACAACTAACTACCTACATGTTCTAAAATGCTTTTAATGTTAAAGCATAAGAAACAATGTCATTATCTACAACGAGAGACATGCATCAGAATCTCGTCTGTGACGTCACACGAGGAGGTCCATTTAAATATTTAATTCGATTGCGATTAATATAGAGTGCTTATTACGCTTGTTGGCTATTGTACCAGACTCTAAACTCTGGAGGATTTTCACTGAGGTCCGTCGCCGAGACTCAAATTAGAAACGAAATTAGAATGAAGTTGAAAAGTCATTCATACCTGATGAAATGCGGTCACTGATGTTGGAAAATTATTTTGTGTATGTTAGCATATACTGTTCTGGTTAATTAACGAAAATTATAATAATTAAAGTATAAGGTATACTGAAAAGTATATTGATAGAAAGGTTAGCGTATACTAATCCTGCACTTAAAATTCATGCCTTTTAAGTTGGGGGTTGGGCAGTTGGTTAATACCTCGTTTCACTGCGCTTTAAACTGTAGCCAAGCTAAGATATTTATCAAATGAGTAAGCAGTAGATATCGTAACGCTTGGGGACATCAGATGAACAGGTAATTGCAGTTTTTTTTTATAACATTTGGCAGGGGTAAAAACTTAAACATTTTTATTTACTAGGGGCATATACCTCTATATACAGTGTAGGTAAAAGTTTATGGTCGATATGGTAAAATTTAACAGGATATCTAACGCAGATATAAAATCATATTTTCAGCGAATAGACAAAGATAACAATCATATTTCCCCTTGGTCTCCCCTTCATAAATATTTTTAACACTCATTGCTCATTCGTGAGACGAATAATTCCGATCAGAGATATTTTACATATTCTCTGGTTCCGATCCTAATATACCTAAAAAACTAGAGGTGGATCCTCTCGTTTTTTAAATTTGTATCGGAACCGTTTTTCGTAAACTGTAACTAGTTGATTGTTTACCAGTATTCAAATTAGCGAGTACACAAACATATTGGCTATTATCATTTATGTGTATAAGTATTGAAGTGAAAGAACCTAACGAAGGATATATTTCTTATATATAGTAGTAAACCAAGCCATGGGTCTAGTAGGCCCATGGCTTGGTTTACTATTCTTTTCCATTCTTTTCTGTTTGTTGCTTTATTTTCCAGTTTGGTATTTTAAGTTTTTCTATGTCTTTTTTAACATCCTTCTTCCACCTGGTTTTTGGTCTGCCTTTCTTCCTTTTCCCTCCTATTCCTCCCATTAGTATTCTTTTTGGCAGTCTCGTGTTTCCCATCCTTTGAATGTGTCCCAACCATCTCAGTCTTTGTGACTTTATGACCCCTACGATATTCAGTTCTCCATACATCTCCTCTAATTCCATATTTGGTCTTTTCATCCATATACCATTTCATAATTTACCTCCAGATATTTTCCTGAGGATTTTTCTTTCCCAGACTTGCAGCAAGACTTGCTCGGATTTGTTCATTGTCCATGTTTCATTGGCATATAATACAATAGGTCTTATTACTGTCTTATATATTCTTATCTTAGCCCTTCTAGATATGTTTTTGCTTCTTAATAAATTGTTTAGTGCAAAAATACAACGGTTACCGGCCATAATTCTCGCTTGGATTTCCTCCTTCATATTTGGTCTTATCGTGAATGTCGCTCCTAAATAATGGAATATTTCTACTTCTTCGAATTTATATGTTTTTTCATCTGTTATTACTATCAGATATTGTTCTTGTAGGTAATCTCTTTCTGTCCATTCCATATATTTGGTCATTCTTCATTTATGTACATCCCTTTCTTTCTCGCTTTCATTTCTAATCTTTTTATTATTTCTTTTAATTTTTGCTTACTTCTGGCTATCAGTACAATGTCGTTAGCGAATTCTTAGCATTGGTGTTTTCTTTGATATATAAGTCCTGACCTGTTGATTCCAGCTTCTCTGATGGTAACTTCAAGGACGAGACTGAAGAACAGCGATGACAGTGGGTCTCCTTGTCGCACCCCCTCACTGACCTCAAACTTATCTGTTTCTTCGCCATTTTATTTAACCCTATTCTCTGTTCTTCGGAGCATCACCATTCTTATCAGTTTTTCATTAATTTTTTTTTACTTTCTATGCCTTAGCATGCATTTTTTACAGGAGTCAATTTTATTGTTTTGATGTATTGGGAGAGTAACTATAAGCTTAAGTTAAGCCGTCATCTTGGAAAAAATGGGGAAACGGTTTTCAAGCTGTATCTTGTCAACTATAAACCCTACAAAAAATTTTATTGGACGGTATTTGTAGCAAATTAAATTTGCTTAATTTAATTTGGGTCTTAATATTCATAACACTCAGAATAATTTTAACTATAATATTTGTTTAATTTCATTAATTTCGCTGGATTTTACAGCGTAGTTAGCCGGGTTCTTGAATACTCGCCATCTTTTAATAAGGGGTGCATATGATATAGGAATATTATACATAGTTTTGCAGCAAACCATGATACTATGACTATAAGATAAGATATTGCGCATGTTTTTGTGACGTCATTGGAGACTTGCACGTTCGAAATGTCAGTTTTTGTATATATCAATAAATAATCTTTAATAAATAGTTTGGAGATATCCTTTTGTGTACGATTATTGTAATTATTAAACCTCTTAACTTATTTTCGTCTAGTAATTTCATCACATAATGCATACAAATCTCATTTAACTTTAACAAGAATTCAAATTCTAGTCTCCAATGACGGCATGCGCGAACCCGACCGATTTTGAGCTACGGGAAGATCCTATCTTGTTATTCATAGTATCATGCAGCAAACCATTTTCACTACAAATTTGTGTAATTTCTTTATACTGAGTTCTTTTTTCTGAGTTTTATACAGATTGAACCAAATTAAAACGGAACATACAATTTAATACATGTCTGTTTGAACTGCATTTAAAATAGTGGACCAATATAAAACTTGGATAAAAATAAATCCAAACCTGGGTATAGACATTGTATAAAATATCGTTCAACTATCTGTCTCGCAACAAAGTTGTTTGCGTAAGACGGGTTTGTCTAAGGAGGCGAAAATAGTTCAGGAATTGAAGCTCGAAAAAAGTTAAAACCTCGCAATTTTTTCGTCCTGCATGTATCCATTTGAAATTTTAGCAGAAGGTAGGTAATAGCCCAAGGATCAAAATCTATATCGAACCGAAGTGCGCTGAAGGGTTTTAGGGGTGAAAACTACCCCTAATTGTCAAAAATTATAAAATAACATATTAAACCTGAATATGGGTAAGATTTGGTTTGAATTAATTAAATAATGATTATTTTATACTTTTGAATAGAGTTCCATCATATTTCAACCCTTAAAAAAGCAACCCTTGTTAGAGATTAATGTAAAAAATTACTAATTCTAAAAAAATGATTTCGCCTTGTATCATTTGGATAAAAATTTGGATTTAAGCTCAATTCACCCGCTGCTTTATAGTTTATGTCATGTCGACGAACCCTGATTGTTCTTAGGGGTGAAAACTACCCCTAATTGTCAAAAATTATAAAATACCATATTAAACCTGAATATAGGTAAAATTTGGTTTGAATTAATTAAATAATGATAGTTTCGTGCTTTTCAATAAAGTTCCATCATATTTCAACCCTTAAAAAGCGACCCTCATTAGAGATTAATATAAAAAAATTAGTAATGCGAAGAAAATGATTTCACCTTGAAACGACTTGCATAAAAATTTGGAATTAAGCTCAACTCACCCTCTGCTTTATAGTTTATGTCATGCCGATGAACCCTGATTGTTCTTAGGGGTGAAAACTACCCCTAATTTTCAAAAATTGTAAAATAATATTACAAACCTAAGATGAGTGAAATTTGGTTTGGATTAGTTAAATAGTGAGTTTTTTATACTTTAAAATACAAATTCATACATTTTCAACCCTTAAAAATCAATTGTTATGAGTGCTATAGGTGAAAACAATTTTTTGCCAAAATTTTGCAACTTTTCAACTTTTGAAAATCACCCTTTACAACATTGAAGTTTTTATAAACTAATTTATAAGATATAAATTGAAAAAAGTAGAATTAAATACAAAAAAAATTATCAACATAAAAAGGCACCATATATTCTTATACATTTACATAAATAGTTGAAAATATTTACATTTATAGGTAAAACAATTATAATATTAATTTTATTCGTCATCAATTACATCTTCATCGTGATCTATGTCATCATCATCTTCCTCAATTATTGGTGGACTGTTATTGCACCCTTCACCTGAGCACCCAGAACAAGTAGAGTTACAGTATAAACCAACTTTTCTGCAGCCATATGAAACGCCGCATCCTTTTTTGCATTGGCAAAAAATAATTTTCAAAAATTTATCGGGTGCAGGTTGTTTGTTCATGCGTACGGGTAATAACAAACCATCTTTGGAAAACCATCCCCAATCTGTTGCTCTGATATTTTCATTGCCAAGCCATAGACATATGAGCAGATGTTTTATTCTGTTGTATGAGATTTCAAAATAAGAACGCTTAAAATTTCGAATGTATAACGCCCCACTAGCTAATATACCGGTTTTGTAGATTATTATGCTCCGAAATGTACTGTACTATACTAATGGAATTTTCCGGAAAAAAATTAACTGGTTTTTTAAAGTATTTCCTTTAATTTTTAACGATAAATGTTTCTTCAAAAACGATTTGTAGAGGTTTTTAATAGCTAGAAGGATCTGTGAATTAAATATTTCTGGAACCCTTGGTTTTTAAATGGGGTGAGTTTAAAGGGCCCGAAAAAGATGGTGCTTGATCGTAAATCGATGCTTTAAACGGCTATATCTCGCCAAATATTCATTGTACAACAAATCTAAATAAAGGATAATTTTAGTCATTAAAAAAGCTACAATTTGGTAATTTTTATTTTTTTCATATATTCAGTATTTTCTGGCATATTTAAAAAAAGAAGGGTAAAAAATATGAAATTGTAAATCGTTTCTCGCTTTAAGCTGTACTTTTTCTAAAACTAAGCATTTTAAATGGGTCAAACTTCTTGGAAGTATTAACAATACATCTACAAAGGGAATTGCAGAAGGGTGAAGATCGATTTTAATTATGGGGGTGGTTAGGGTGTGTTTTCCTCGATTTTTTCGTAAAAAATGAGGTATTGACCTTATTTTTTTATGATAGGTCTATTTATGCTCTTTAAAAAAAGGTTTTGTGAGTTTTCTTCCAAAAATGCATCATTTTCCCGATATTTGACTTTGAATCTTTCAAATTTGGCATCTGAAGAAAACCGCTGAACATTGATATTGTATTTGTAATTGTATTTGTCTTTTTAAAAGCTACAAATTTGTTCTCTACAATTTTTTTGATAAAATGCACCATTTTCGAGTTATTCGCGAAAAATCGATTAAAAACGTGGATTTTTTCGTCTAAAAGTTGTTACTTTCAATCGCGAATAACTTGAAAAATATCATTTTATAAAAAAAATGTATAGCACATTTTTTGTTTAGAATCACTTTTCTAATCGAAACCTGTAGTTAAAGCGTAAAAAAAATTTTCACCCCGGAGATGGGGTGGCAACCACCCCTAGGCTTTGGCGCACTTTGGTTCGATATAGATTTTGATCCTTAGGCTATTACCTACCTTTTTTAAATTTCAAGTCAATCCGCGATGCACGAAAAAATTGCGAGGTGAAATGCTACATTTCCTGGACTATAACTGGTTTGACAGCATAATCGTAGATTTATGTGTAGCTTTAAATTTTTATGAGTTCAGAATCCAGCAGCCCACTGAAGTATGGGATTTTTTATAATATAATTATTTGACAATCTTTTGTTGGCCAACCAGCTACAGCAGAATTGAGCCGAAATACATTATATTCCTATGTTCCGAATTTATTTCGTTCAATCTGTAGAGTTCCGAAGTTAACCGAGTTCTTGATTTCTCGTAAGAATGCGATATAAACGAATCATTAGACTTTCTATTTAGTTTTCTATTGTATATTTTTTTATTCATATAATACTTAATTAATTTATTTTTTTAATATTTCCATATTTTTATTAATTTGTTATCAATCCGTTATAGTCGCCGTATTTCGGTGGAACTGTGTAAAAATATATTTATCTGTAATAAAAGCAGACAATAAAAATTAAAATAAAAGTACTCTACCGCTATAAACTCAATAAAACGAAAAGTAGAAGAAAAATTAGCTGACCCAATTGAAGCTGATAATGGAATAAGACAATGTCCTCTAGTTTAACCTGATCATGAATAAATTAATAAAAAGTAAGAACTAAAAAAAGGATAGCAAATAGGAGAAAAACAAATTAAACCAATCTGCTATGCAGGCGACGCAATACTACTCTGTCAAAATGAAGCTGATTGACAACGTATGCTGCCAATTTAATATAATCACCAAAAAGTTAGCAAAAATCAAGTAAATACAACAAACAGAGCCGCAGGTTGCCTGAATGTAAAGAAATAAAAATATCGGGATAAAAATAAAAAGCAGGATTTACAGAACAGTTATAAGACCAATTGTAACGATAAGACTACCAAAGAGAATTGAAATAATATTATAAAAATTTAATAATATATCAATCAACCGTGTGAGCTTATCGTCTACGCTTCGCTAAGCTCAGTCTCTCAAGTGTAAATTCGTCGTGTCTTAAACTATGAATTAAACCATGAAACCCCTGCTGGTAGTAAAGAAAACAATTATTTAACTAATCATATTTATTTAAAATAAAAAATAATACTATAGTAGCAAAACAACCCTGCTCAATGCTTTACATTAAATAAATTTAAATGATACATGTAGCATCGATGAGCTGCTTGCTTCTAAATACGTGTTTACGTTTGATGTCCTGCTTCCAGCTCCAAAATGTGTGGTTAAGTTCTCCAGAGCATGTGGTTAGGTCCTCCAGAGCATGTTATTCCATAATATTCCATAAATATATAAGGTTCATAAATATCCCATAAACAATCCAATCAAATCTTCAGTAAATCCAATAATCCCAAGAGAATTCTGCAGACGGTAAAATGAGCCTTATTATAATGTTTGCCTTATTTTATAAATCTTAGAAGCAGACAAAAACATATCCCACTATGTTTGAAAGCTAATTGACAGAAGGTAAGTGGAAAACTGTATCAGCTGTTACAATGAAGTTTAGCATAGATGCCATAGGACATAGGCCCATGATGGAATTAGCTCTTCTGTTAACATAGAACAGAATATTTAGTCTACCGGATAAAAATAAAAATGGCGAATATTTATTCTACGGGACAGATAGAGAAACAGGGCGCCAACTACTTTTTGAATAAAAAATAGTAAAAAAAATAGAGAGAATAAAAAAGTTTTGAACATCAGAGATAAAAACTCTTAGAAAAATTGATTATAAGGCACTATGGAAGAGAGCTATAAGTACATATTTACGACGTACATGGGTAAAAAATAACAGAGTAGAATGGAACGATCATATAAGCCGAATCACAACAAATAAAGTAGTAAATATGTCAGTGGAAAGACCACGAAATGATGGAACGACAACTTACTGAAGAGACATTAAAAAACAGGCAAACAAATATTACTTATATTAGTTTATACCATGGACGTATAAACATAGATGGACACAGCAATAAGATACCTTTAACACACAATGTTTTGAAGCTTCGATAGAATGTGATGCTTCCGCAATGAGCATAAGCGTGCTTGAATTATTACTCGCGGGTAATTATTCAGATTTTAAAAATTGGAAGTAGTAATAATGTATAAAAATACGTTCAAAGAATTAAAACAAACGAGAGTTTAACTATTAACAAATCACGTCTTTATAGAAAAATTTAAATACAATTTTACTTGCTTTACAATTAATACAATAAAATATTGTTGAATTCAAGTTAATTTTCAATAGGTATCAAAATAATGCTATAATAAAAAATCTTTATGTTTTCTCCTAAATTTGCTACCATAATAGTTCGATCGTCAATATTATTTGGAAACCTATATAGAAAAATAAATGAGTTTTATTCATTTCACTAATTTATTTGCATCCATGAGAAATATTAGATTAAAAAGGTACTAAATAAATCTTTTTTAATCAGATGATGTCTACTTACAATTTAAAAATGTCTACTAATTTCATGAACTTATATCTTATTTAATACATTAATGAACATGAATAAACCCAATGGTACGCCTATTAAAATGTAAACAAACACGCTTTCTCATTTCCTCATCTTAAATAATGTAAATTGTATGTACTTACAAATGAAATGAGAGATCGGGATGTAAATATTTCGTTTATTTTATTTAACTTTTCACAAATATCACTTAAAATACAGCCAAAATATCGAAAAAAACAACTTTTACTAAAAAGTAAACAAACATGGAACAGCATTTGAAGTTTGACGTAGATCCATAAGACAGAGAAATGAAAACAACCGTTGCCATTTATAAATAGTTTTCAGTTCTTCTACATATAAAATAATTGATTGATATATATTATACGCTATTATTAAAAAATGATAATGCACACCATGTGCACACTTTATATTTTGATTACAATTAAATATATTAATCTAACCAATAAATTATTATTTTGGTTTGATAGCACCTGTAGAGTATAAAATACCGAGTAATATTTTCAGCGACTCGCGAATAAGAAATTTTAAAACAAAACGTGACAATAGTTGAAGATGCTGAGAATTCAAATAATTTTGACTTCACAATTTTATGTAAATAACTGAGTCCATCTGTGTTTATACGTCCATGGTTTATACGGTTACTACTATTTCTATAATACACACAGTATCTAAACTTTATTTATAGTTGTGTAATATTGTATAGCCTTAAAACCTTAAAAATTTGAAGATAAAGTAAACATTTTGTATTCATTTTAGCTATATACTTAGCTTTAAAACTTCTCTTCGTTATTTTGTTTAAGTAATGTAAGTTTGAAAACACTTTTTACTTGTTTCAGGCAATCAAGATATATTGATATGCGGCAACTGCAGGGAACTCTTCTCCGAACTCCAGGAACTCCTCGAACACAAAAAAACTTACTGTAAATTGCGTTTCACCTGCAAATGCGATTCAAATAAATCCAGTAAGTCTCGCTTGTTTCTCGTTAGTTTGTTGTCTTGCAGAAATGTATTTACGAAAGTAGCTTTCTGTGTATTTTAAATAGGAGGATTAGTTCTTTGTCGTAATTACAAAATGTAGTTATTCCCGATTTTAACTCTTAACTTTTAATATGTTTTATCTTATTTATTTTATTTTATTTATTTGAAACTGCTTCAACCACAAGGGTTATTAGGGAACTATTTTTATTAATCTAATTTATTAACTTTATTTAATATAAAATGTTCTAATGCTTAGTTTATTAGAGTCTTTATTTAATTTATATATAATCTTACACTAACTTAATTTACACTATTCTAATTCATATACTACATTTATTTCCCGCGTTACAATTCAAACTCAACTCGATACAATTATTATTTTTAGACTAACTGTTTACAATAAAGATTTCCTCTATTTATATTTAATAATCGTTATTCTGAAGTTCCCTAGAATTCCCAGCCCGTGACCCTTGCCGAACGTTCTCGAACGCAATGGAACCCAGACAGGTTTTACTGGGGGGGACCCATGGATATTTATCTACTAAAAAATACTTATTAGAAAAATATGTTTACGGTTTTGGTATGAGTTCTGTTTATCAGAACATTGCCCCACTCTTAAAAGATGGTTCCTACTAGAGCCTTGTCGAGACTGGAACTGTTACGGTATGCTGGTATCGACAACTGGTCTCTCTTTTACAAGTTCCAGTTGTATAAAAATGACAAGGACAGATTTCTCTCCGTACCAGTAACTATACGGATTGCAACAGACTAACACCTGGATTTCGGTGTCTTTAAAGATCTCCTCCACCATTCTTCGGATAACCCTCCAATCTAATTAGCGGCACTCCAACTTTAGCATGGCTAACTTTTGCACGTCATACTCTACTACGTACTCTCTCAATTGAAGTAAGGCTTTCCATACATCTCAGTAGGTAGGTTGGTCACGGGTAGTGTCTTTTGTTACCAGGTAAAAAAGTTAACGTGCTGCATCTTGAAGTTTCAAGGCTTTCCCGGGAGCTGGCACTTGGCATTGAAGTTCTGCAACTCGACCGAACTTTCCTTCGAAAGACGGATGCCAACCCTGGTGCGTCTTTAAAACTGGCCGGGATGGTAAGGGCCAACGAGTAGTCATCGGGAAGCGAAAGTAGATCTTGCCTTTGAATTCTAGCAAGACAGGACTCGCAAAATTTGAATTTTATTATAAACTTTTTCGACAATAGCGTTATAAGTTTATATACCCCTTACATATTTCCTCCTAGATCCTACGATTTGACTGTGCAATTTTTTTCTATGGTCACATTTAAAAACTTCTATTTTTAAAACTGCTTTAGCGAATTTGGAAGTTCTTAGATAAGGAATAAATATAAATGGGAATTTTTGAACAACTTGAGGTTTGCAGACGACATAGTCCTTATTGCAGATCAGGTAGATCATGCATGCCAACTTCTTTAAGACCTTCAAAGCTCTTGTGCACGAGTTGGCCTTAAAATTAATTTTTCCAAAACACAATACATGACCAACCTGGTACTGGCAAAAAACATTTCCACTAATGGCAAGAAATTGAACAAGTGTATTCCTATAAGTATCTGGGCCACGAGATTAAATTGGGAAGAGACAATCAAACAACAGAGTTAAAAAGGAGAATAGGACTGGCATGGGCAGCTAACGGAAAACTGAGGGAAGTCTTTAAATCAGCTATTTCCATGTGCTTGAAGAGAAAGTTTTTGATCGGTGTGTACTTCCAGTTCTGACATATGGAGCAGAAACATTGACACTTACCAGAAAAGTAATTAATAAGATACAAGTGGCACAGAGAGCGATGGAGAGGTCAATGTTGGGCGTATCACTCAGGGACAGAGTTTCGAGTCAGATAGTAAGGAGAAAAAACTGGTGTGACGGACGCAGTTGAAAGAATTACAACCTGAAATGGAACTGGGCAGGACATGTTGCTAGGGTCAGAGATGGAAGATGGACAAAGAAAATTTTAGAGTGGAGGCCTAGACACGATGCTTATCGTAGTCGAGGACGTCCTCCAACAAGGTGGTCGGACGATTTAAAGCGCATCCAGTCTAACTGGATTCAAGTTGCTCAAGATCGGATGCAATGGAATTATTTACGGGAGGCCTATGTTCAGCAGTGGACGCAAAATGGCTAATGATGATGATGAGATAAGGAATAGAGAATCATATTGAAGAATTAAAAAATACTCCGTAAGTCCTAAACAATGTTATAGACTTAATGAGAAGAAGAGTTACGTTTTTTCGAGATATTGGTGGTGGACATATACATCATCTTCTTTGATTTTATTTGTTATTGCTACTTATAATTTTGTTTATTTTTTTTATTTTTGATTAACCCTTTCGAACCGCCATCAGGTGAAACGTAGTAATTTCCCAGTACGAGCAAAGTCAACAGTTGCTGATTAATTGATTAATCAGCTTCCCGGTCACAATAAGTAATTATGATGGTAATTACATATATTCATTTTTATTTATTTTTCTGTTCGTATTGGAGTTATTAGAAAAAGAAACAAGTTAGTTATTAAAAAAAAAATTTTATTTGAATTAAAAATTAATAAAAAAGCAAATGACCAAAAAAAATTGCAAAAAAAACATTAACTCTAATTTTGAAACAAATTCAACAATATATGTATATAAGCGAGATTCCTACAGCCTCTGCCGCCTCTCGCATTTCGACCGCCATCGTTCTCTGTCCATCTATTCGTCTTTTTTGATGGCTCTATCTCACATTAGGTGTCGTACATTTTCTTCTCAGGCAACTGAAGGCCTTTCCCTTCTTCTTCTTTGTTGTGGTATGTAATTTTAAGCTTTCTTTGGCCACCTATCTTCATTCATTCGCTTCACGTGACCATACCACACTAGTTTTCTGTTTTCATTCTGTCTACACTGGAATGTACAGTATTTGTCCAAATTTAACAAATTCAACAATACAGAACTCATAATTTTAAAATTGTATGATATCGTTCAAAACAACTTACTACACACAAGGGCACATTACACTTTTGATACAAGTACCTTGTGTTTTTTTCCAATTTTGCGTTTGGCACAAACGACACATCTTTTTGACAAAAGTCGCCTGTTTTCTCATAACGGATACAGCGTAGGAAAATGTCTTTCTACCAACCATAATGGACGATCACCAGCATTTGGTCTGGTACTTGGTGACAGTCGAGGAGTGCTTTGTTTATATTTTTTTAACATTTGTTTCACCAAATCCCTCTGCAAATCCAATGGAGGAATGATATTCCAGTTTTGACTTAGTAAATAGCATATTAATTTAGTTAATAATTAATTAATAATTAATTTAGTACAACCATCAGTATACAAAAAAAGACCTTTTTGTACCATTTCACGTTTTTCCTTCCGGATTCAGTAGAACTTAGGAGCATGTCTGTTCTGTCGACTCCATCCATATTCATATTGTACGTGATAATACATTCAGGTTTTTTAATTTCTTGGTTTCTGCTATTTTTTCTTTTAGATATATTAGCTTCATGCATGGTTGTCAACATTACAACGTCTTTTTTATCTTTCCATTTGAGTATCAAAGATTTGTCAGTAGAAAAGTATTGTATAGAACCTTTTTCCAGGTTATTTTTAAATTTTGGCGTATGGTTTCGATTCTGCTTTACAGTTTCGCAACAATTAGTCTTTTTTTCGAATTAAGCTTCAGCCAGTAATGGACTGCTATACCAGTTTTTCATGTAAATTTAGTGGCCAATATTCCAATATGGCTTGGTCAGTGACATAACGATGTTTCCAGATATACCAAGATTCTCAGAATACTGAGTTATATATGTATCCGCTCCGGTATATATTATGATATTTAATATTTAACCGCTTTCACAATCAACGGCAACAAAAAACTTTTAAGGAAGATATTGGCGAAACGAATTGTCCTTTGAATAACATAAGACTTTCATCTATGGAAGTATTTTTAAATGGATAGAAATTTTTCTTGAAAATATTCCTAAAATAGTCACTTATGTTTCTAATTTTCACAAGACGGTCATTTAAGTTACAATTATTGTTATCCGAAAAGTGGATATTTTTCAATACCAGAAAATATCTATCTCGAGGCATACACTGTTGAAATGTTGGTGTATCTAGTAAAGCATCTTTGGTCCAATAATCAGTATCTGCTTTTTTAGTTATAGCATGAGCAAAAATACGGCAATAAAAACCTACATCTCATCAACATCTGTGTTTTGCCAGTTTTTCATGTGAGAAGATCCAGACATTTTAGAATTGGCATTATTACCGGATATATTGGTTTGTTCAACGACTTTTTCCATTATCTCTTGTGTAAAAAAGGCTTTAAACACTTGTAGGATAGATGGAGATGAGACAGATGCATCTGACAATCCTTCAATACAATATCCAGAGGCATCGTTTGAAAAATTATGTATTGTAGGAGCAATATTTTTTTCTTGTCACTCGAAAGGATAGCATTCTTTTTTTTTTTGTTTTTCGTCTTTTGGATTGTGGAATATCACGAACAACGAATTTGGTGTCACTTTCTGAACTGTCATGGTTTTTCTCACTATCACTGCACGTCGGTTCGCAAATATTTTCCCACCCGTAGCTCTTCTCTGATTCATCATCAGTGTTTTCTGAATCACTGTTGAAAGCAAGTTCTAATAATTCTTCTTCAGATAAATCCTTTGTACCAAACATATTGTGAAAAAATGTGCAAATATAATGCGTATGCCTACGAAGTTATGACTTCAATGACGCAAAATCAACAAGTATCTACCCGTATCGGAGCTAGTAAGAATCAATGCTTGCAATCCCCACTATTGATATTTTAATGGTGATCTGTTACGTGAATGATCACCGTCAAGTTACCCATGCGATGCGCTGATTATTACGTTTTCTGTCTCGAAGTGCATCCTCTGTCCCTGCGGACTTCCGGGTATCGGACTCGTTATGATTTCGCGGATAGGTATATCAGTTTCCCGTTACGAAAGGGTTAAAGTTCTGTTTTAATGGTTTTGGCTGATTTTTTTTTTAAACAATATTAAAATTAATTTATAATCCAATGATACAAATTCACATTAAAACAAGACGTATGTAATTTTTTGCTGATATGATTTGATAAAAATAATTGTGGATAGCTTGTTATAAACAACGCAAATAATCGTACTCTTCTGTTTCAGAATCGCCAGATGATGCAAACACTTCAGCATCTCTGTTATGTGTTCAATGTAAAGACGCTTTCCAAAACGCATGGGATCTTATGGTACACGCACAAGCTGCCCATATGTTGAATATATACGAATTAGGAGTACCTTCACTCGGCAACTGTTCTCTCCCATCACGTTCTCCTAGAGATAACAATACGCCAGATAAGGTAAGAAAAATCTTATTAAACGAAAGTGACACTAAATATTAAATTAAATATTTTTTCTAATTAATATGCTCCTCGAAAATTCAGACTAATGCTGAGTAAATTTTATATAGTTCATACTTAACAAAGAAATTATTAAAAGGTTAAAGTTCTAATCTTTAATCTTTAATAAAGGCTTTAGATTGAGGAAGTGTGGTTTTCTTTTGGCAACTAGCTTGTGACTTGTGCAACAACGTAGGCCACTAAGTGTTATTATTACTGAAAATAACAAAAATCTTCAACTTTAACTTCTTCTTCTTAGGGTGTCTGTCCGTTCCGAACGTTTGTCGATCATTCTGGCTTTGATGACTTTGTTGGTTGCTATACAAAATAGCTCTATTGAGATCTTTCTATACCATGCTCTCAGGTTAGCAAGCCAGGATATTCTTTTTCGTCCTGGGGCCCTTTTTCATTCAATGTTACACTGTAAAATGCATTAAGGTAGCTCGTATCTGTCTTGATTTCTTATTATATGGCCCAAGTACTTCAGCTTCACGATATTGACCAAATCCGCAGTTGTGTTCATCCTCCGCAGTACTTTTTCAGTTGGAGTACAAGAGCGACCTCATCATCATCATCATTGGCTTTTACAACTCTTCGTGAGTTTTTGCCGCGTTTACTATTGCCTTCCATTGATTCCGATCCTGTGCTATTATTTCCCATGGCCTTACTTCCATCTTCTCAGGTCTTCCCTGACAGCGTCTTTCCACCTTTTTCTAGGCCTTCCTGTCGATCTTTTACCATCTGGTCTTTCCCAAAATACATTGCTAATCAGTCTGTCGTCATCACTCCGTACCACGTGGCCTGCCCATCTTAATCTATTGGCTTTTATGTATCTTACGATGTTGCCTTTCCCGAAGAGAGTCTCTATTTCATTGTTGTATCTGCTCCTCCATTCATTTGTCACGCTGTCCCTGCAAGGACCATATATAATTCGCAGGATTTTGCGTTCCCATACTAATAGCTTATTGATTTCTTTCTTTCTCAATGTCCATGTTTCACTTCCATATGTCACTGCTGGTCGTATTATGGTTTTGTACATTTGGATTTTGGCACGCCTTGAGAGAAGCTTTGACCTCATTAGATGTTGAATGGCAAAGAATGATTTATTCCCCGCCAGTATTCGTATTTCAACCTCCCGTTCTCCTGTGTTTTCACTGGTAATTGTTGCTCCTAGGTATTTGAATTCTTTGACCACCTCAAAATTATGATCGTTTATGGTAATGTTTTGTCTTATTCGCTGTCGTTCCTTTTTTGATACGACCATGTATTTAGTTTTTTCTTCGTTTATTTTCAGGCCTACGCTTAGTGTTGCTTCTTCAAAGTTCGATACTATATCCTTAACTTCCAGTGTTGTCTGTGCTACTGCATCTACATCATCTGCAAATGCGAGAATAATCTTTGCTCCTCTGGCAGTTATGTCTGGTTTGACTCTGGTATATATTTTTCGCATTGCGTATTCCAATGCTAGGTTAAATAGTAATGGAGACAGCGGGTCTCCCTGTCTGAGCCCGGTGCTTATGCCGAAAGCCTTTGAATTTTTGCCTCCTATTCTAATTTGTGCAAAGGAATTGTTGACACACATTCGCGCAATCATGGTCAGCTTCTTTGGTACGCCTAACTCCATCATTGCACTCCACAGTTTTAAGCGATCTATGGAATCATATGCTTGTTTGAAATCTATGAAGATCTGGTGTACTTCTTTATTATATTCCCAATACTTTTCTAGCATTTGTCTGATAGTAAATATTTGGTCGATTGTTGATCTTCCAGGCCTAAAGCCGCATTGGTAATCGCCAATAATTTCCTCTGTATATGGCAGTAATCGTTTTAGTACAACTGAAGCTAATATCTTATATGTAGTACCGATTAGTGAGATTCCCCTGTAGTTGCCACATGTATCCTTTCTGCCTTTTTTATGTATTGGCACGATAATACAGCCACTCCATTCTTTTGGCATTATTTCTTGTTCCCAGGCTTCTTTCATTAATTGGTGTATTTTAGTTCTAAGTTCATGCCCTCCTTTTTTAATCAGTTCTGCATCTATATTGTCTAGTCCCGGGGATTTGTCATTTTTTAGGGTTTCTATCGCCGTGATAATTTCTTCCAGGCTTGGCGGGGGTACTTCTATCTCGGCCGTTTGGTACTCACAATTTGCTTTATTTCCATCCGCGTCTACCTGGACATTTAGCAGACTTTCAAAGTATTCAGCCCATCTTTCGATTATTTTATTTTCAGCTGTAATCATTTGCTCATTTTTGTCTCTCACAAAGTTCGGTGTTCTTATATATGCACCTTTCTTATGTTGTCTTACTTCTTTGTAGAATTTTTTATTTTGCTTGCTTCTGTGTTCACGTTCTACTTTTTCAATTTGTTGTTGTAAATGTTGTCTCTTTTTTCTCCTTACTGTTCTTCTGGCTAAGGCTCTCTCTCTATTATATTGTTCACGTTTTTCATCCGTCGGGTTTGCTAGGTAGTCGATTCTTCTTTTGTTTGCTTCTTTTAAGGTATTCTCGCATTCTTCATCAAACCATTTTTTTCTTTTTGCTTTTCTCTTCCGACCTATACACTTCTCTGCTGTTTCTGTAATGATCGTTTTAATGGAGTGCCATTTCTGGTCTATATTTTCTCTTTCATTTTCTTTCGTTTCCAACACCTGGAATCTGTTTCTCAATTCTAGTTGGTATTGTCTCTTTCCCTCTTCTTCTTCCAATTTAGACACATTCCATCTTTCGATCTTCATCTGTTTGTCTGTTGTTTGTGTTGAGATTCTAGTTCTGAGCTTGGCCTTTACTAGGAAATGGTCTGTATCACTATCTGGTCCCCGTCTAGTTCTTACGTCTATTATACTACTGGAATGCCTCCCATCAATTAATACGTGATCAATTTGGTTCCTCGTTCTTCCATCATTTGATCTCCATGTTACCTTATATATGTTTTTCCTGGCAAATTGGGTGCTTTTGATAATCATGTTGCACCCTGCTGCAAACTCAATCAGCCTTGAACCATTGTCATTGGTAATGTCATGTAGACTCTGATTTCCAGCTACCGGCCTTATGTGTTCTTCTTTGCCTATTTTTGCGTTTAAGTCCCCTAATATTATTTTGATGTCATGTTTTGGGGCTTCCGTGTATAATCGGGTTAGGGAGTCATAGAATTCTTCCTTCTCTTCCTCTGCTGCTTCTTCGGTTGGTGCATACACTGAGAATATCGATAGATTGAACCATTTGCCCTTTATTCTTATGATACAGACTCTATCATTAATTGCTTTGAAATCTAGTATAGCAGATTTAATCCTTTCGCTTATTACAAAACCACACCCTCTTTCATGACGTGTTTCATGTCCAGACCATAGCACTATTGACTTCTCCATTTGGATTGTCCCAGACCCAGTCCATCTGACTTCTTGGATTGCAGTCACATCGTATTGTAGTTCTTCCAGCTGTTTTATTGCTCTTGTGGAAATTCCAGGTCGATACCAACTTAGTACGTTCCATGTCCCTAATAGAGTGTCCTTTATTCGTAGCTTACGTCGTTTGTCCTGATAATCTGTCCTATTCCGAGGCAATAGTATTCGTTTCGTAGCAGTGTATTTTTCCGTGTATGGATCGCTGGTCCATAGCACAACCCCCAACCTGGAGGACCGAATTTTCTGTCTGGGTTTATTCCCATAGCCGATATGTTCCAGTTTTAAGGCGCCAGAAACTCGCCTTTCACCCTCTCTCGTCAGCTACATAACGCACACCCATTGTGCGCCATGCACCCCGTGGTTACGCGGCATATTGCCTTCGAGGACGTGAGAGTAGGATTTGTTGGCAGAGCTGAGTTCTATTCCTAGAACTTCCGACTTTTTCGTCAGAAAACAGTGGACGTTTCTCAGAGTTTTATTGCAGTGTGGGCATCGACAACTCGTACTGCCTCCGAGGTCTTTTACCAACCTTTAACCACAAGAGCGACCTAGCAAGTAAAAACTTAAATGACAGGTAATCTTGAATATGTTTTTTGGGAATTTCTGCAGCTCAACAATCTTTCCTATATTGTCCCCAACTAGCTGCTCAATGCTACTTTGACATAGGCCTATCCAGCTAATCTACTCCACCCATGCTTTCATTTAAGTGCTTAGTCACTGCTGGACGATTTATTTCTATGTATTTCTTATCTTTTACTGGCCAGCGCCTACCACAATCCCAAGGGTTCAGTTCCAAATGCTGATGAAAGCCACATAGATTGGTTTCGAGTCAAACCATTTTGTAACAGCTATTTTGTTGTCGTTGTTAACGAGCATATTGTAGGAGCCTCTTTCTGATTTTCTTAGTGTCTTAAATGTCACATCAGTTTTTGGTATTCTATTTTTCATTAATGTTCCTGTTACATAAAGCTTCCGTAAATGTAATGCATCAATCAATATTTTTGACGTAAAATATCTGTCAACAAAATTACATACTCCTACTGGCAGAGTATCTGTAAATTTTAAAACAAACCTTCCCCCGATATCCAGCCGTTCTGATATAAGTACCCAGCTGGATTCAATCAATCTGCCTTACCTTCATACATGTGAAAATCAAGTGGAACCCCCCCCCCTTTAATCCTACAGGGTTCAGTTATCCTCGCACAAACTGTCTTATTAATACTTTTTCATGAAAGGGAATCATTTGCTTATCGATTGACACTTTTTCAGTTCTTTCATTATTCAGACAAGCTCTTTGAATTTGATCCAACAATGTCTTCAACGTCTTACTTTCCAGAATCTATCATTTTCTTTAGACTCCTCAGTTACAGAATCATCGTCCACAGTTGTGATTCGTGTTCGAATGGCAAAAAAAACGATTTCTTGACATTTCTGAAACTATTGGTACCCTGGTATCAATTTGCCAAAACATTCGGATTAGTGGTAAATTATAAATACCAATATGCAAGCGGCGTGCAATAAATGTTTTTTAATTCTTCTGCAGAAGTCTCCAAAGATTTCCAGTTTTTTTTACTTCCTTAGTATTTGTGTACAATGCTATAAATAAAAAAAATTGTTGTCGATGTATTTATTGAAGCAGTCAATAGGTCTTGGAATATTTTCGGGATTCAAGGGATCTTGCACAGAGGGTTATTATTTGGCAAATTGTGGTGTAAAATGTGTTCACTTCCATTCTTTCCTGTCTTTTTTAGGAATTAAATTTGCGGTGTTACTCTTCTTGAAAAGCCCGGTTGCCAAGAGCATATCATCATTAGAATCGTCGTCTGATATGTCACTAATTTCAGCGTGATCACTCATTTCTTCCTCACTTTTAATCATTCCCATCATCATCACTGTCAGAAAAAAGAGAAAGATCCAAATCGGAGTCATCTAAATTTACATTTTCTGCGATTTCCTAAAGTTCAGTTACAGTAAAGCGGCCCTAAAAATAAAAAAAGGTATATTAAATACACTACCGTTTAGAAACCATCAATCAATGGTTACCATACCGATGAGGAAACATCAATGATACCTTGTGTTTACGGCCAAAGAACTATTGTACCTATCTTCAATTTATCACAATTTCAATATAGTACCTTTTTTTATACTTAAATGCCCTGATCATACACAAAAACATGCTAAATATTATATACTCACTTTTATTATTGATAATTTTTTAGCGTCTGCTATGACGTATTTACTTACTCACAACAAAAGTCTGAAACTTCAATCGAGAAGTATGCCATGGCGATTGTTAGACACTTACCATCGTCTATGTATATTCCCATTCCGGATACTTGTTTCGTCCACTATTCTAGCCATGATTGAATATATATTTTAAATAAAGTCGGAGATAGACAACATCCTTATTTAAGCACCTTTGTATTGGAAATGATTCAGATATAAAGTTTCCTTCTTTAACGAAACTTCTTGCAGTTTTGTATATATTTGCGGTAGCATTCACATACTCTCTACTGGAACCTACTTTTGTCAATGTTTGGAACAGTTTTTTCAAAGGTACCGTATCGTATACCTTCTCTAAATCTATAAACAATAGGTAGGTAGATAGATTCCTTGCCTTCGGATTTTCGATTACCTTCTGCAGAACGAATATAACATCAGTGCATGATCTTCCTGCACGAAATCCATTTTGTTCTTCTATGTCCTCGTAATCTGATTCTATTCTTTCTTTTATTAGTCGACAGTACTACCTCCCCACTGAGTTAATAATAGTTATTTCCCCTATAATTAGAGCATTTGCGTTTATCCCCTTTCTTGAATATTGAGGTAATGTATCCAATATTCCAATCGTCAGGGATATTTTGTCCTTTTAAGCATTTGTTAAATACTGGAACCAACATCTCATGTAATATTTTTGGTCCGTTCTTTACCAACTCAATTGGGATGTCTCCAGGTCCTGCTGCTTTACCGTTTTTCGATCTTTTGAGGGCATTGTTTAACGCTCCGGTTGTTATCTCAATTATTTATGTGTGTTCGGATATTTCGATGTCTTGAAATTTACATCTATCATGTGTCAGTAAGACCTCATATTGATATTTTCACTATTTCAGATCTATTAACTGTAAGTTAGATTTTTTCTTTCCTTCCCTCCGGAGAGACTTTATCACTCTCCAAGCTTGCCTAACTCTTGTTCCACCAATATACCTATCCACCTCTGCACACCTTCGATCCCACATCTCATTTTTACTTTTCACTACTTCTCTTTTTACATCTCGAATTTAATTTTTGATATATCTTGTAATCTTCCTCCTTTCTCGTTGACATCCATTTCTGATAAACAGTTTTCTTCAGTCCACGATTTAATATTATATTAATATTATATCATATTAGTACGATTTAACAATTAAATAAGTAAGCAAAAAAAAAATAAACCTAAAAATGGCAGTTTAAACCCAGAAATCGATCGTATTTTGACTCAAAACGTACAACCCTAGCTTAAATTTTCATTCGTATATTTACTTTAAGCGTATAGTACCTTGATTATAATAAATTTGTCTACATAGTCTTCTATCTCGAAGATTGTAAGTCATAGCAACATATAAAATAGATGCCTCATAATTTCTGTAATAATTAACGAAGAAATTCTATGTACTTAATATACTAGGCAACCTTTTTTATCGCTACACCTTTTAAAAATTTTGATGGCTGTCACATTTTTTATTAATAAAGTGAAGTCAAAATTTCCCGTTACAATATTACATTTAAATTATGAGTGACCAAGCACCATCAAATGTCGATTTCGATATTGAAGAGACATCCTGGGAGGTTCTATCAGACAACAGTAGTTCCAGTTCGATCGAAAACCTTACAAACCGAACTAAGCACTCGGTATCATGAAGTTTCTACAGAAGAAAATGAATTAAATCCCTTAGTTATTCAAATTAACAAAGATTTTACAGATGAGGATAACGTTATGAAAGGAGAAAGCACAAAGTTTTGAAGACAAATCCTCACCAAAGAAGTTTTTGCAGTCCTTCTGGAAAAAATTAAAGTCCAGGTTAAAGACAAGAGTCAAATTACCTTCATATTTTACTCTATTATCGTTAGCTGCTTTTATTCTTATTATAACAAGTTCGATTGTGTTGTTCTGTTTGCTACGAATACGTGCTCTCCCAAGTTCACCAGAGCTTATTTCAAATGAAGAGTACACTGGAATAAGTGGAAATGAAGTATTTAATAATTATAATATACCCTCAGATTTAATAGACCAGTCTATAAATCACTCAATGGTTACAAACAATACATACACAACAGCTTTTAATAGCTACATTGAAGATAATGTTTGTTTTATAGAAGATACATTTAAAGAAGACAATGATGTTAAATTTAATACTCAAAATGGTGACATTCCTGTACTTTTCAATAATGCTGACCAGTACTTTCTTAAAAACCGTACTAGTAATTTTCTTAAGTTCTTAAAAGAAGCCTGTTTAGTACCAAGTATGTACCATGCTGTTATGTTCATTATTTAAAGATTTACTTTTAGTTATGATTCTTCAACAGTTAGAGAAAAAACTGCAGCTTATACCAACTACAAACAATTCTTCCAATTCTGATAAACCTATTAAATTAGAACAAATAGAAAGGGCAACAGAAAAAGACAATCTTAATGAATTCGTTGTAAAAGGCCAACCAGATCAAAATTCCGAATTAAAACCTACCGCCCAAAAAACCATTGAGTTTCCAAAACCAAATGACAGTATTGTTCAAAATGGTAACCTAGAAAATGGTAAAAGTGAGTGTGAACGAAGATTCGAGGATCTTGACACCAAGTGGAAAACAGTTGGTAAGAGCCATCGCCAAAAAATTCAAGAAATAAAAGAAGAGTTTAAATCGCAGGTTTTTCGAATAAAAGAAAAAGAAAAAGTCTCGTCCATAAGAAAACAAAAAATTCAGCTAATAAGAGATAAGTATACTCAAAAGTTACGAAAAGATAGAGAAAAGTATTTTTTGCAGTTACGGAAAATCAAAGATGAAAGACAGAGAACTTTAAATGAAGTATGTAGGAAGAAGCCAGATGGAATCCAAGAATATGAAACTGCATTGAGGAAGAATGAATATTTAAGACAATCTCCAAAACTTCCTAAAAATCTTCAAAGGTTGGTAAAATCAGAATTTCTTGGCAATGACACAGACAACTGTTTAGATGTATATTACATGCAGCAATTTAAAGAAAATTGTGATTTCTGGAAAAATAAGACTACTCTTAACCAAATACGGAAGTCCCCCTTATATTTAGAAAACAAAATAGAATTATCTAAGGAAAGTATGGAAAATGATTTTACTTGTTTTAGTAAAAATGTTGAACCTAGCAAAATATCAAACATTGTTAACTATAAATCTATTATACCCCATCTGGATATTCCTCCTAAACCTAAAAAGGTTTATAAAAGTAAATTAGCTACAAAAGATCGAAAAAAATCTAATAAACTAGAATTATTTAAAACTGAACTGTCCAATCTCACAATCAGTTTGCGTAATCAAAATTCAGTTAATCACAGCAAAGATTTCTTACCAATCGTAAACAAAAGTATCGATAAAATGACCGAAAATGAAACCTCTACATCTATATTGATAAAATTTGAAGATAATTCTGAAAAATCCAAAACTGATAAAGCCTCCCACTTGTTCAAAAACGTAGAAAAAAGTGATAATGAAAATAATGCAAAGATTATGTTATATAAACCTGAATTTAGTCCACTATTTAGCACAAAAGGAAAAAATAAGGAAAAAGAAAATGCCTCTGGAATATCTATAAAAAGCAGAGAGAGTAATTATGTAAGTAGTACGCAAAACAGTCAGTCAGTAATAGGAAAACCAAATATCAACAAGGATCAACGTTTTCTCAAATTAGAGGATAGAAAGACTTCATTTTCAAAATTAACGGACAAAACAACTGCATGGCGTGATAAAATGTCTACAGAAAACTTATTGCCAATTAATAATGCTAACATATTTAAAGAAAGTACTGACACAAAGTTCGAAGAAAAATCACAAATTAAAAAAATCCCTTTAAGAAAAATATTAAGGTCTAAAAAAAACGAAGTTGTGAGTAAACCCTTCCAAAGCAAATCTGAAAATTTTTCACCAGATGATCCAATTCACTTGAACCAAGACCAAAATGAGTTGGAAGAAGACAGTACCACAAAATCAAATCCTCACACATCCGAATTATCATTACCAAGACCCAACACATTTTATGAACCCAAAAGAACTGAAAGTGAATTGGAATTAACAGTGGAAAATGATCTTAGATGGTTAATACAGGAAGTGCCAGATAAAAGGGATCTTTACCGCATATTGTTCGGCAAGAAAGGCATGATGGTGAAAAAGAAGGAAGAGTCAATGCTGGAAAAACAGTACACAAAGAGCCAAGGATTGCCTTTATTGTTAAGTAAGAACGATCCGAAGGTACCTAAGAAAGTCAATGTTTTTAAAGGAAAATTGTAAACTATCAGAAAATTACTACAACTGTTGTAGTGTTGACTTAATATACTTACATACGTACATACAATTGCATTTTTATTTCGTTTTAATGGTGTATGGCATTTGGTTCTCTTCGATTAACTTTTTCTGTATATATTTGTTGTTAATTTTCATTATTTAGTATTTATTTTTGGAACTATAGGGCTAATCGTATCTAAAAATGTTGCAACTCTCTTCTTGCTGTTTTTTCTTGTTTAAGATCCAATTTTCTGTACCATATCTCTTTATAAATCACTTTCATCATCATTTAGCCTCAATAGTCTAGTGCTAAACATAAGCTTTTTCCTTGCGTATCCAACCTCGGTCAGATAGCTCAGCGGGCTGTGCGGCTGCCTCTCATTCGCTTCACTGTCGAATGGTTTAGTGGATGTGGGTCGAGCCCAAGCTCGGTGTACAGAAAACAAAAAGTCTAACGCAGCAGTTTAAAATTCTAGATAAATCTGCGGCTTAGACTAGGATATGCTGGTTCTGATCGGCCTATGGTGGAGCAGTACGGCAAGAGATAAGGGCTTGCGGCTCGGTGATACTCCTCCATAGATCCCTACCGGACGGGCGTAACGCCTAAAAAACCGGATATATATATCCAACCTCTTCTATCTTGCGCCGCTCTCAGCAAGGTATTATTTAACCTTCTTCATTGTTAGCCCATCGTGTATGTGGTCGTCGTATTGGAATCAAACAGCAAATGTCAAGGTTGAGGGCAGACTAACAGAAGAAATTCAAATCCGTCGAGGAGTCTGGCAGGGATGTATCTTATCGCCACTTTTATTTAATCTGTATAGTGAAGCTATCTGTGAACAAGCACTCGAGGAAGAAGATCTTGGTCTGATAATAAATGGTGAGACAATCAACAATATAAGGTATGCTGACGATACAGTTCTTCTAACGGGAACGCTAGTAGAACTACAACATCTCGTTCAAAGTTTCAATATATACTGTAACAGTTACGGCTTGAAAATTAATTTAAAAAAACAACTAAATTTATGGTAATCACGAAATCAAAGAACATCAGAGCTAATCTTGTAATAAACAATACAACGATTGAGCGTGTGCCCTGTTATAAATATCTAGGTGCTTGGATCACAGACGATACTGATCAAACAAAAGAGATTAGATGTAGAATAGAAATCGCTAGATCAGTCTTTAATAGAATACGCAAACTCTTTTGCAATCGTGATATCAATATAAAGTTACGAATACGAATGCTGCGGTGTTATGTCTTTTCTACCCTGTTATATGGAGTTGAGGCTTGGACACTAAAACAGTTGACCATAAAAAACATCGAAGCTTTCGAGATGTGGTGCTATAGGCGCATTCACAGAATATTATGGATGGACCGCGTCACTAACACGCACGTACTCCAAATTTTAGACAAAAGATTCTATTCTAAATAAGAAATTCTAAATGAGATAAAAACTAGAAAGATGGAATACTTGGGGCACATTGTGAGAGGTGAAAAGTATTTTAAGAAACATCATGCAGGGCAAAATTAAGGGCAAAAGAAGTGTGGGAAGAAGAAAGATATCATGACTTCGTAATCTACGTGAATGGTTCTGGTGTAGTTCGCTTGAACTTTTTAGGCGAGCTGCTAACAAAGTCGCAGTGGCCATGATGATTTCCAATCTCCGCTAGGAGTGGCACGAGAAGAAGAAGAAGAAGTATGTGGTCGACTGACGCTTCAATTGTGTTCTTTTGGTCTCAATTACAATAACCTCTTGATCCGTCGCACATCTGTCATTTTAGCTGTATGTCCTGCCCATCTCCATTTTAGTCTGCCTATCCTTTCGATGACATTAGTCTCCTTGGTTCTTCTCCAGATCTCTACATTTGTTTATCTTGTCTCACAGAGTTTTTCCTAACATGCGTTAGGAAATTATTTCATAATATATAGCGTCGGTGCATGATCTTCCCGACTTAAGCTCTTTTTGTTCTTCTGCTAGTGTTATATTTCATTTATTTTATTTGTATCACTTTGGTTGTAAAATATGAGAAAATCTTTTCTTTTCTTACTATTTATTTAAATCGTTATTTGTTTCTCTTTAACGTAATATTGTAGTATTTTTGACTTTCAGTTTTGTTTAATTTTTTTAATGTTATTTCCTGCAGCTTCCTTGGTTGTTCTATATGTGCTATATTACAGTTAAAATAGCGTATAATTTCAGTTGATGTCATATTACATTTTAATTTTGTTGGGTTTTGGAACTTTATGGCGACTTTTAAGGCTTAGCAATAAAGTTCCTAATGTCTTAAGACATTATTCTTTTTTGTTATGTTGTTTACTATTCTTTAAAATGGATTTTACTGGATTATATAACATTTTACTTTACATGAAATAGAATAAAACTAATTTACTGCTTTTAACTTTTACTATTTTGTTTATTAATATCGACGTATTGTAATTTTTTTTGTACCGGAAAATTGCAGATAGTTATTGGGAAATACATTTATATAATAAACGCCAAGACGCGCCAATTGATAATTTACAATATTTATATTTTAAATTCCCCTTTTTAGAAAATCTAGCACAGAACTCGTACTCCTGTAGACAAAACTAAATTAAATCTAGCTACCCCAAAAGTTAACACGTTGGTAAACACATAGAAATTCATAACTATCTTAGGAACTTAACAGCTTTAGAAGCTACTGACTAAGATTTATGGAAATCTGTAACAAAACTAAAAACGCCTCAATATATAAACCCCACCTATAGGTACTTCACATGGTCACTGGGCAAAAAGTAATAAGGACAAAGTCGGTGTTTTTGCCGGACACTTAAAATAATTTCCAACCATCATCATCCAGTCTCAAGTGTCCACTGCTGAACATAGGCCTCTTCCTCTTGTTTCCAACCCTGTCTATCTTGCGCCGCTCTTATCCAGTTTTTATTGAGTCTTCTTAAATCGTTAGTCCATCTTGTAGGTGGTCGACCGACGCTTCTCTTGTCTTCCCTTGGCCTCCATTCCAATAACCTCTTTGTCCATCGCCCATCTGTAATTCTGGCTATGTGTCCTGCCCATCTCCATTTTAGTCTGGCTATCTTCTCGATGATGTCAGTCACTTCGGTTCTTCTCCTGATGTCTTCGTTGGTTATTCTGTCTCGCAGAGTTATTCCTAACATGGGACCGCTCCATTCTTCTCTGCGTGAATCTCATTTTGGTAGCTGCTGCTTTTGTAAGTGTTTCTGCTACGTACGTCAGGACTGGGAGGACGCATTGATCAAATACCTTTCTCTTTAGGCATGTGGGCAGCTCATTTTTAAAAGTTTCTCTCAGTTTTCCAAATGCTGCCCACCCAACGCCGATTCTTCTGTTCAGTTCATGAGTCTGGTTATCCCTGCCAATCATAATTTCATGTCTCAGGTATTTATATCTATCTATAAGTTCTATGTCTTTCCCACCAATACTGATGTTCTGGTTGGGTACCAAATTGGTTCATGATTTTTGTTTTCGAGATATTTATATTTAAACCTACATTTTCTGTAGCCACAACGAGTTCCTGTACCATCTCTCTTGCCATAACCTACATTTTTTTATAATACTGTTGTATATTTATATAGTTCGAATTTATTTGTCTTTATCTAATTTATTGTCTATAATCTAATTTATTAAAACTCACGATAGCTAATTACTAATTTATTAAATAACTTTACAAATGTATTTATTTCACGTTTCGTTACAAGTAAACCGCGTTTACCGATCTTCTTATGACTGCCTGCCAAATAAAAATCTTTCATTTATATACACAACTGTGTCATCCAGAGAATTCGGCGGACTTCTTGAATAGTCTCGTATTTTGGTGAAGGCGCTCGACTCGTTTTTCAACCTCGAGACGTGGATGACTCACTAAAATTAGTGTCTAGAGATTTCTGGTAAACAACTGGTAGCTAAGCTCAGGTATATTTTGACCTACAAATTACGAGAATCAATAAAAAAGAATTAGTCATAAAATATTTACAGTTCTATATGCCATAACATTTAAAATCGTAACATTGCCCCCCTCTTAAAAGATGGTTCCTCCTGGAACCTTGTCGGGACTGGAACTGGAACGACATGCTGATATCGGCAACTGGACCCTCTTTTACAACTTCCAGTTGTATAGAAATGACAAGGGACGGTTTCTCTCCGCAGCAGTAACTATGCGGATTGCAACAGACTAACACCTGGACTTCGGTGTCTTTAAAGATTTCCTCCACCATGTTTCGTATAACCCTCCAATCTAATTGGCGGCACTCCAACTTTGGCATGGCTAACTTTTGCACGTCGGACTCTAGTACGTGCTCTCTCAACTGAAGTAAGGCTTCCCATACATCTCGGTAGGTAGGTTGGTCACGGGCAGTGTCTTTTGTTACCAGGTAGAAAAGGTAACGTGATGCATCTTGAAGTTTCAAGGTTTTACCAGGAGCTGGCACTTGGCATTGAAGTTCTGCAACTCGACCAAACTTCCTTCGAAAGACGGATGCCAACCCTGGTGCATCTTTGATACTGGCCGGGATGGTAAGGGCCAGTGAGTAGTCATCGGGAAGCGCGAGTAGATCTTGCCTTTCTTCAGTGGTAACACCATGTCTTGCTTTACCGGTACCTCCATAGGCACCCATGAATTCCTCAAACGTGAGGTCAGACACATCTTGGACTTGGTTTACTTCCACTTCTTCATCTACGTCGTGGTCACCCTCGAAAGACGCCAGCCGGTTATGGTGTACTATCATCGGCTTTCCTCTCGGAATCTTGCTTATTCGGTAAATAACATCATTGATCTTCTCCATAATGAGGTATGGACCTTCCCAAAACTGCTGCAATTTGGGAGAACAACCTTTTCGCTTTTTGGGGTTATAAAGCCAGACTTTATCGTTCTTCTTAAAACACCCCTTTTCGGCTTGCGTATCGTACCGTTTCTTCATTCGGTCACTAGCGATCTGGAGATGGGAACGGACCAACTCGTGTACATCGTCCATTCTTCTTCGTAAT